GAAGGAATCTGGTATTGTTTGGGGTTTAGGGGTTTGTTGAGAAAAAGATTTTCCTGGGTGTTTGTATTACGATTGGCGGATTTGGGTTTTTGGAGCTTTTGGTCTTCTATATGGCGGCCGGGAAATATGGTGGTTATCATGATAATGAGTTTAGGGACCGTGATTCTGATGTAAGTTGTGTATAAGTGACCCAAATCTTACTATTAAAATTTAAAAAAGCCTGTCTTCATTAGTTGATAAATAGAGCTGAAATTTATTCCTGTCTTCAAAACAGGGAGAGGCCTAGTCCTCATCACATACACCTCCAATAAGTGTCTTTACTCTTCATTCTTAATCTAAATCTAATTAGTAGACAATGCAAACAAAAAACAAGAAGACCTATCAGTTGTGAACTGTGAAGGAAAATACCTCAGGGCTGAAATCTTCCAGCTTCTGTTGAGGTGGATAGAATGGAATCTGCAAGATGATTAGTAAGTCATTTTCAGCACGTTACATTTTGAAGTAGAGTATTAAGTTTAGCAATAAGCTGAATAATCTCAAAAACCAGCACTTACCTGTAATACAAATTCTCCTTGCTTTAGATCATGAGCAACAAGAACACCTATAGCTTCAGTGTTAAAAATGAAAAACAGCATACCAGGTCTCTCATCAAGCAGGAACTGTCCAAGGTCTTTGCACAAGAAATGAACACTCACTAACTTCTGCAAGTCCTTTTCACCTCTCAAATCTATCCCAACAAGCTTTCTTACTGCACTCCCAGCACCATCAGCTCCAACAAGAATTTTACACTGGATTTTTCTCTGCATAGGCTTCCCTTCCTTTGGGAAAGAAACGGTAGCAGTAACACATTGTTCAGAGGCATCAATGGACACACACTCATGCCCCATGAGTATTTTTCCAGCCTTGAGAGACTCATGATCAAGGCCTTCCCAACCTTCTGATTCACAGACATTGAAACCAAGGTTTTCCAACTGCTTAACTAGTAACCTAGTTAATTTGTGCTGAGATAAATGTGCAACTGATACTGGGCTGACAATTTTCTCAAAATCTGGCAATAGATAGCAAAGGATCAATTTCTAAAGTAACCATCAAGAAGCAGACAGAAGGGGCATCAATATCTTCATTTACAGAAATGGAAATACAATTCATCAAACATAAGTAAGTATGCTTTCTTTTTACTCTGTTTTTCATACAACGTAGAGAGCTGAAACCAGCTGACTGCAGATAAATCATACCTTGAGGTTGCATATGGTCCACTGACCCAAGTATTGGACCAGTGAGGGAAGTGCAATATATAAACTTTCTCCACAAATCCACCGGGGGCTGTGATCTTTGAATCTCCTCTGCCAGTCCACCCAATTTGCGAAACACCTAACAAACAACCAAAAGTTAGAACGAAGCTTCATTCCTTATAGTAACCAAATCCATCTTCTATATAAGAAATTTCACCTCCATTGAGCGGTTGTTAATAAAATGAGCCTGGGGATGCCTAGAAAACGCCTTGTTCTTCTCTAAAACCGCACATTTGACCCCTAAATAAATCATACAGCAAAGAAGTATTCCCTCCACCAATCAGAAACCCATTTTAACAAGCAAATGAAGGTAACAAATACGTGATAAATCCAAATTGCATAAGCTAAATTCCTGCTCAAAACTTAAGACTGACTAAACAAAAAGCAATCACCTGCATAATAGTCATTAAGAAAGGAAAAAGAAATGACTGAGTCTTCCCTGTATAGGACTTCATCTGTTGCAAAATTTCTTTCTTTCCCATTCTTCCGAGGCGTATAAAAAGGTAAAAATTCATGTGGGTTGAGGACGTACCTAATTTGGTTAGGAGAATGGAGAGAACGAGACCAACAGGTCCGGCACCGACGATCAGAACAGGCAGCAGTGCGTCGTCATTGCTGTGACACTTAAAGTCCGATGAGGCTCTGCATTGAAGGAAACCAAATGGGTACAATCTGGTTCTGGGTCTGGCTTTATTGAGGATGCTAAAACCCCTGATAAACTCTGAAATCCCCATAAACCAGGAATCCAGAAAAGCTGAAGCTCGGAGAACGGGTACCAAGAGGAAGATTCATATAAATTGTAAATGCTAGGCCTTGCCTAGTGCCTTTTGTAATGAAGCCCATCCCGCGTTCGGATTCCTTGAATAAAGTCCAAGCCCACGAGGTGATTAGAAAAAATCACTATTTTTTAAAGGATTTTTCTACTCATCAACATTTTTTTGCCATATCGGATTGGAATAAATGGTAAACGATTTGTTTCAACTTAACCAAAATCTTGAGTTTGAGATCTTGTGTATGCAGCAGTCCCACTAGGAGACTCACCCACCATTTTCAGGTGTGCGATGCGAGTCGAGTCCGGATTAATCGAGGCGAAATGCCGGATACCGAGCAGGAAACCAAAAAAAAAAAAAATTTTTTTTGTCATAAATACATATAAATTTTTTTTTTAAATTACATTAATTTTAATGTAAGTTTTCAATAGATAAATTTAATCAGATAATTAATAATTAATAAATTAAATATTAATTTTTATTTTTAATATAAATTTATAACAAACAAATATATTTATTATGT